GAGGGCGCAGCAAATGGTGCTCCTGCCTCGGCCTTCCCCCGGGGCACGGCCTGGCGCCGGGTTTGTCCCTGGCAGTCCTGGTAGGGCTCCAGCTGGTTCCTTCTTTTAAAAATCACAGTATAGGTGGGTGTGAGATTAAAGTCTGTGGATTCCAGGGAGGAAGTGACAGCCGTTTTCCAATTGAGCTTACTCTCTTGCTTCAGCTACTAGAATTGATCATGGCGAGGATTCACCCCCAGCCTCCCTGAATTATTACATTAATTACATTTTGTAACGTTAGAGAAGCATGCAGCCGTGGTGGAATATCCTGCTTGGACAACTTGGGAACCTGCATAGTTTACGTAAACCTATATAGTTTATGAAAGGATTATTATGCAAAGTTTTGAGTTCAGAATAATTGATGGTAAATCAGTTGTCCCAGTTTTGGTTTATTACTCTAGGTTTTTTAAATGGAACATATAGACAAACCCTACACAAGAAAGATAGCCTCAGCCCGGCAAAACAAATACACCTTTGGACAAATCAAAGGTAGATTTCTCTCCCTTTCTAATGTGCAAATGTAGATTTGGAACCTGCAAGCAGAAGGCTGCATCGCGCTGTATCTTGCGCAGCTGACTATGGCTCTGTTCTGATCTCATGGTATATACACTGCAAAGTAACGCGGGAAATCATTACTGGAGGTGGCTCATCACAAAATCTTGCACGTTTGACTCAGGTACAGTTCAAAACTGCAAAACCATGCAGTCTTCAGAAGCTAGCTGTTCTGTCCTGGAAATAAATTTAATTAGCTCGTAAAAAGTCAGTCATTGCTTAATCACTTCTTTAAAGTGATAGTGTGATGTAATAAAATAACAGTTGAGACCGTAAATATCGAATACAGTTGGAGCAAACATACAGAGCAGAGAACTGTGAGTAATCTTTAAATCACAGCACTACCCAGGGACACAGACCATCCATCCACTCTGTCACTGCTTGCACAGAAGGGAGGTTTTGCCCTTGATCAAGATAACCATATTTCAAGGAAATGGCACGCTATTTTGCAGGGAATTATGATTCATTTGACTGTGTTAACAATGTGTTTTGCATCGTTTCCTGTCTCCCCATCTTTATATTCATTCATATACATCATCTATAAAGAAATGCAAACACTTTCTTCCCTGGTTTAATACATCATGACCTGCTCCTAAAAAAAATCCTACACGTAATCTATACATGTCATTAAATATGAAAAATGTGCAACAGTGAGTATGTCACTGTCATCTTTTGTTGCTCCCAATTAGTTCTGGTATAACCCTTTTAGCTTCAAGAGAAACCAGATTATAACTTGTCTGTCAAGACTGAGGTTTATTTTACGCAACGTGTAATATCTGAGCAACCCATGTCATAATTATCAAAATGATTACCCTATTTGGTAATTTGGCCATTTAGCCAGATTTTTGCTGATTATGTACTTTCTGAAGCAAAGACAAATGGTAATAACTAATACTGGTGCATCTGGGTATAAAGGCAAATAAGTATTACAATACTCAGTATGCATTGGACCAGCCCAATGTAGGTCTACTAACTGTCAAAAAATGGATACTCAATATAAATTAAATAATATTAGACTAAATTTTCTATCTCCTCTTTTTTTTATTCTGCTCATTAGAATGCTGGCAAAAAAATGATCTTTTGATCGAGACTCAGTTATTTCCTCCCTTCTTGTTCCTTTCTTGAAGGAAATCTTGATCGTAGATCAGTGAGCAACAGAATAGAGCATAATGAAGCTAATAGACATTTTTAATTTCAGGTAGCTGAATCTCAGTAATGCCCAGATCATAAGATCTATAGTAAGTCTCCACCATGCAGAGTGCAGTTAGAAGTGTTCATACAGACATAACTCACCAAGTTTACAACTCAGACGGCGTAATCACAGCAGCCAACTTCATGCATGAGTGGGCAGGAGGAGTAACTGACGGAGTCTGAGGCAGCCAGTTAGAGCAGAGCACATTTTTAAGTGGAGTTCTCTTATGGTTTGATTGAGTCCATGTGCCCATGTAGACTCATTAGAAACTACTCGAGATTAGTTTGTTGCTGAGAGATGAGATGCACCGATAAACCAGGTACTTTGTCATTTTGTGGACTGGTAAGTATGGACAAACCTTAAGATTTCCCCTCCTCGCTGGCTGTGTTTATATTTTGTTTCTTTTCCAAAATGGATGCAGATGCAGTAATAAAGGGACTTACCTCTGGGCAGACAACTAGCGGTTCCCTAGACTATGGGATTAGGCAGTATAACCAGGCTGCTGCTGGTTCAGTACACACAATTTTACAATGTAAAGAGTTCTTAAATGGTCATGTAAGTGTGGTTCGTTGTTCAAACATGTTTGAAGACTGTAACCTTTGCGCTTGTGAACCAATTGGTACGTTACTCATAGTTGTTCCACCCACAGGCTTGGCACTGAACATTACACCTTCATAAATACTGTTTGCATATTATCAAGTTGATAAAAGCCAGCATGTATTTGTACAGAGCTTTTATTTACTTTTCATAGCGCAAAGCTACTTCTTCCCCTTCCTCTTCTTTACTCTTGTGCTTCATCTCACGGAGGAAGAAAGACATCTTACTGACAAAAACTGGCTTCACGGAAGACGGTAAATTCCAGCTTTAAAGGCTTACTAGAGAACACCGCTGCACAAATGGGCCTCCAGAACACCAAACACTCCAAAGTCAAGCAAGCTAATATACTGATGTTAGGACTTGATTCTGCGGGAAAATCTACGCTGTTGTACAAGTTCAAGTATGATGATGTTTTTCTAACAATTCCAACAATTGGCTTTAATGTTGATATGATTGAAACCGGGAAAGATTTTACACTGACGATTTGGGATGTTGGAGGACAACAGAAAATGAGACAGGTTTGGTGCAATTTCCTGGAAAACACAGACGGACTGCTGTATGTTGTGGACAGCTCTGATAAGGAACGTCTGGAAGAATCAAAGAAGGAATTTGAACTCATTTTAAAGAATGAATTTATAAAAAGTGTACCAGTCGTCATGCTAGCGAACAAGCAGGATTTGCCTGGAGCTTTGAACGCTGAGGAAATAACCAGGAGATTCAACATGAAGAAGTACTGCAGTGACAGAAATTGGTATGTACAACCCTGTTGTGGTATCACAGGAGAAGGTTTGTCAGAAGCTCTCCAAAGACTAACCGCATTTGCAAAACACTACAGCAGATCAAAGGACACTTCTACAATCTTTAAGGAAATGGAAACACTTTAAGAATTTCTATCATCAAATTCTGGTGAACTTTAATCGACATATTTTGTTGGACAGACTAAATCTGAAAATACTGGATTCTGGAGAACTCTTACAAGTAAATATTTATAAAGACCTTCGACAATATTAAATTACACTGTTATACCTGGTGCTTCTGAGATACTACTCTGCATCATTTTATTAGTGATCGTATACTCGGGGTTATTCAGCTCAGAAGTGTGGCTGTTGAATGATGACAAAGGTGGAGTTGAGCTTCTGAATTTAGCAAGTGGAAACAAAATAGGTGAGCAGTGCTTAAAATGCTTAAATCAAGTTACTTTTCAAGATGTAAAATAGCCAAGTCGTTTGTTCAGCAAGAAAAGCAAGAGATAAAATGTTGTTTCGTAATAAATGCTCCGTGGATCTATTTCTCATGTAAAAATATAGTTATTTTAGAGCTTAAACTCTTAGTGATGTACAAGAGAACCTATGAATCTGAAGTACTTGTTGGATATTATTGCATTCTAGAACCAATTATTCCAAACAGATTTTAACAAGCAGGATCTGCTCCTCATCAGGCCACAGACAAAGCTGAGATCCAGTGCTGTGTGTAAGGTGCAGGTCTGATGTCCCTTTGTTACAGATTTCCATGTACCGATTTCTTTGTTCCTGCACTGTTGGCTATCCTTGGCCAAGAGCAGAGCAATAGAAGTCAGCCTGGGATCAGTCCAGCGAAGCACTGATCCCTATTGGTTTTGGGATGGGGGATAAAGGGAGGAGGAATGGGGGGATTGGCTCCTCGGTCATTTTTTTACAGATCTTGATGCATCCTGTCCTGCCTGTACTGAAGCCACCTGGAATTTTGTTACTGATAAATTTAGGTTTGATTAGATTTGACATAAGTGGCACAAAATTGCTAATCCTATTACTACAGTTTGTAGAAAAAAATTCCAAATGAAATTTCTGTTCAGATTTCCTGATTGCTGAAGGAGTGAATTAGTATTCTGAATGCCATTAGAGCAACAAAGGATTGGTAACTAGAAGACTAATTGAACTGTATCAACGATGAAAACAGTTTAAACACTAAGGCTGAAAAGTTAATAAGGCGTACTCTTTTAAAAGCAAGAGAAAGAGACCATGTAATTATTGGTTATACAGCCAAGAAAACCCAACCCAATTATTTCTGCCTTCTTGAGCAATGTCTGCAGAGGTAGGATGCTCCAGTGGTTAGGACGCTTGCTTAGATAGCTGGATTTTTTTTTCCTACATCTACCACAATCTTTGACCACGGGCAAGTCATTTAATGACTCTGTGCCTCTACAGTCCCTTGGCAAAATGAACTTCCCAGTTACGCACTCTGAAAAAGTTGCGGCAAGGGTCAGCTTGTGAGCCTTTCTCCTGCAACAAAATGATTATGCCAAGTAATTCACGTAAGAAATTTACATTTAGTTCTTACTAATAAACAGGCAGGAATTTCAAGTTATAGAAGGGTGAAGCAGCAAGAAAAGCACCCAGACGTATCCTGTTGTCTCATGCATATATTATTCAAAGACAAAAAATCATCAGGTGAATTTGCTGAAATAGTAAACAAAGGAAGGTTTCTCAACAGAAGCTGTTATTAATACTGACAGTAATTACCACGGGCTAAATCCTGAGTCATGTTGAGACTACATTTCTAACAGGAGAGCAAGTATTTAGACTTGTCATTGCCTGGTCTGATGATTTAGGCTCAATATAAAATATCATCTTCTGTCCCAAAAAAGATTTTTAAAAGTCTACAACTTTTAAATAATGGGAGCATTATTTTTCTAAACCCAACAATTCAATGTTAAAAAATGTATTTCAGATCAATACATTTATAAACATTTGCATGCGTATGTTACATATTGAATTCTCCCACTAGTTTATTCTAATCATGTGCCTATTATAAATCTGAATCTAGTTCCCTGGCCTCAGGACTTCCTCAGGGAATAATACTCCTTGAGAGATTTAATGAGAGTGCACCAGGGTCTCTAATTAGACCAGAAACAAGTTCTGAAGGGAGAAATAAAGTAGTATAATAGACCAGCTCATATAGCTAAAAAAGAGAATAAGCTTTCAGGCACACAGTCCCTTCTCCAGGTTATCAAATTAGATTAAATGATACTCACATTGACTTGAAGAAAATCTTTTACATTATGCTTCAAAGGAAATAAATAAACTCTATTCCATTCACTTTACAGAATATCAAGTATTTAAAAATTGATTTTTCTAAGAGCTTCGTTTCCTAAAGAAGTGAAGCCATGCCCATTTTATCTGCCCATGGAGACCCTTAACCTTTTTGAATAATTTTTAAGCTTTAAAACAAATATCAGTCAAGTTGGATAGAGGCGCAGGTTCTCAAAGGAATTATATGCCTGAAAGTTTAATTAAAAAAATCAGTGAGATAGAGAAAAGTGACCATACTGGTGCCCCCAGTGAAGGCAAGGCTGATAAGGTACAAAAGACTAATCCCCGAGGAGATAAATGTTCCATTTTAGCCGCAAGAGAGCCTGTGAGAGGACATCAATCCACATAGCCCAGACTTAATTAGTTCCTCTGCTCTTGGAGCTAGTTGGTCTCTTCCTATACTGCATGAGTAAATAGTGTAGTTGGGGGCTTCTTTAGGATGAGGAGATAGAGGATATAGAATCCACTGCTTAAAATGCCCTTTCTACACCTGGAGTAAGGAATCTCCCTGACTGCTCACCATGTTTTGGGAAGGATCCCGGAAAAGGCGTGTTACGTGGGCAGGAAGGTGCAGAGGAAGTGGAGCTTCTGGCTTAGTTCTGCAAGAACGCAGAGCGGAGCACCGCGCTGCCCGCTTTGCAGCCGATGCGGCTCGTTTCCCCAGCCCACAAGCAGACCGGGGTTCGTTCAGAAGGAAGGTCAGTTGTCAGAGGGAGGAGGGAGCAGGGCCCCCTGCGCCACTCACCGCAGCATCCGTGCCTTCTGCCTCACGCACATGCTCACCCCTGGGCACTGTCTGGTCCCTATTGGAAGCCTGGAAATTGTTTGGTATCCGATCCCATCATGTGTTATGTGGTGAAATCAATAGCAAGGGAGTCACAAAGGCATTTCACAGCTTCATCCTGCTATGGAGAGTTTTAGATCTTTTGACTGCTTGGCTGAACAATATAATGAACAGAATTGTCTTTATGTTTAAGAGCACAACAAAGTGGAATTCTACTTGTGCTAAAAATACAATCCACAGTATCGTAAGCATAATGTATTCCTGGATAAGTTTTGTTTTATTTCATTATTTAGAATTTATATAGGTTACTCACTAACAACAATTTTAGGATTTTTGAAGGGTTTGGGGTGCTTTGAGAAGGTAAAAAATCAGAAGAGTGCTGCCCTCCTTGGCAGGGAACCAAAGTCTATGAAAGAAAAGTTTGCATGGGATGAAAGGCCTTAAAGTCCTTGCCCCCCCGCTCAGCTGTTTACATTGCTTCAGGTTTTGGAACTTTTTTCATTAGCTTTCCGAATAAATCACACCCTGATCACCCTGGTGTTTCTTGCATTTTTCTTGATGCGTATTGTGCAACTGCAATGAAGTGCTAGAAGCATTACAACTATACTGCGGCTAAAGTGTACAAGTACTCCAGTGTCTGCTAATATTTCTTACACAAAGTTTGCTGCACCTGCTCATTTCTGCTGACAGAACAGTCATCCGTGAAAAAATAAACGGTACGTATCTGAGACTCTGAAACACAAAGGGTAGGATCTGGGAAACCTGAGGCATGCTGTATGCTGGGCCCTCTCAAGGAGATTATCCACTGGGACATGTTTGGATGTGACAATTTAAAAGCTGACAAATCCAGAGTATGGGAAACTGTTCTTTTGACCATTCATTGATAAGATTACTGTGGTATAAAATCACGATTAGCTTTCCGAGTTTTGAAATAACTTCATGGAGCTCATTGAACATAGTTCCAGTGGAATGAAATGCTATTTTAAGGGAAGGTGTGGAGCAGCATAAAAAAACATTGCAAATTTGGATAGTAATACTGCCTCCTTCTTTACTCTCCCAATAATTGAATACTCTGCAGAATCAAAGGGAAGTGTAATGTACACGGAATGCAGAACAAGGCTTTTTCAATATCAGGTAATGTAGAGCTGGGCGAGTTACTCAAAATGTCTCTGTTGCCATCTCCTCCTCATTTCTGACAAGTTAACTGAAACAACCAAAGGAAAGACTTTCATATATCAAACAAGTTCTAAGCCTACAGCGTAGGAAGACAATACTTTGAAGCACTGTATGCATATTAAACTGCTTAAAGCAGGTTTTCTTGCCGAAGTAAATGACCCATGTTGAGTTCTGTGCTGCTACAATTAGACTTCTTCCACTCATAATTAGCTCAAGTATTCCTATTCAGCACAGGCATAAGGATTCTGGACATATATCTCATCAGATCACACAGGCTAGATTATACAAGTCTCTAATTTAGGATGTAAACTCTTGAGGGTGGAGGCCCTACTTATAAAGCACACACCATACTGCAAGTACAATTTGCAAACACAAAATCATAAAACAGTAAGAAGTCCAAACACATCTTATTTTGAACGTAATTTTAACAAATTGTGCATTAGCTTGTGTTTCAGTTTCTACAATATTCTGTTCTTTAGCTATGATAAATGTTCTTGTAGCACTCCCACTCATCCACGACGTGTTTGCAGTGTAACTGTACCACATCTGGCACTAAGTTGGGCTGCCATCAAGAGACACCTCCCCTCACCCTCTGTCACCTCTGCGTCCCCCTCCCCAGCTACATATTTACACTTGCAGGTCTCTGCACAGCAGAGCTTTCTCACTTCCCTTGTCCTTCACCAATTATCAAAATGGTGATGACAGTTTTTGTGGTCTTTTTATTAGATTTTCATTGAGTGTTTTTGTGCTTGCTCTCATGCTGCTCCTTATACTTGGAATTACCCAAACACAGATACAAAATCATTTCATTGTTTTGTTTCAGATCCTTCCTTAAAGCACTCCTTTCCCATGATGT